TTTTCTGGAACTCTCTTGTTTTCTCCATAATCCAACAAATGTTGGCAATTTGATCTCTGGTTCCTCTGCCTTTTCTAAATCCAACTTGTACATCTAGAAGTTCTCAGTTCATGTACTGCTGAAGCATAGCTTGAAGGATTTTGAGCATAACCTTGTTAACATGTGAAATGAACACAATTGTACCATAGTTTGAACATTCTTTGGCACGGCCCTTCTTTGGGATTGAAATGAAAACTTACCTTTTCCAGTCCTGTGGCCACTGCTGAGTTTTCCAAATTTTCTGACATATTGAGTGCAGCACTTTCACAGCATCATCTTTCAGGATTTGAAATAACTCAACTGGAATTCCATCACCTCCACTAGCTTTGTTCGTAGTGATGCTTCCTAAGACCCACTTGACTTCACATTCCAGGATGTCTGGTTCTAGGTGGGTGATCACACCATCGTTGATTATCTGGGTCATGAAGATCTTTCTTGTACTAGGTAGGGTTTAATTCACAAGGACCCTAGTGATTTTCCAGCTAAAAGTTTTGTATCATTCATCATGTCATAACAGAAACAGAAGCCAGAACTAGAAGATCTATAATACAGTACCATGTTTGCCTCTAAGTAGCTAAATGAACTCAAAGCACTTGAACACTCTGCTTGTTTTCCCATTTGCAAATGACAGTAACAATGTTTCCCTCATAAGGTTATTGTGGAGACTAGATAACATGTAAAATTGCAATATAGGTCCTCTCTAGTGTATTAACACATCATAATGAGTGAACATATTTTTTTTTTCTGTTTGAGAATCAATACATAATCCTTTGACAGTTATTTCTCTTCTGACAATTTAACTTACACAAACAACATAAAAGGATGAACTGAATAATGGTATTTACTGCAACATTTGCTTGCAGTAGTTCAAAAAAGAACCTAAACAAACAAACAAAAAAAAAATGGATTAGCAAAAATAAAAAGTCATGTAGTATTACAGGTTATTAAAATTAAACTTACATGTACTAATACAATAAAATATCCATGATATTAAATAAAAACACCAGGTTGCCTGAGGTATGTAAACTGATCCATGTTTTGTTTAATAAAAGAGGGGCAAAGTATATGTTCGTGTGGAGTATGAAAAAATAAACACCCAAGTTTGGTTAGAGACTGGGTACTGCTGGCTTCATGCTTTTGTATTTCTGTGTTCTAAGGTTTGTAAGCGAAATAAATTGTTTTTTTAAAAAAGGTTCTATGTTAATACAGTTTAAATCTATTACAGTTTAGAAACTTTATCACAAAACAGAGTACAAGCAATCTTGTGCTACTTTCAATTTATTTTAGTACTAGGCTGAATGCCCAACAAATGAAGATCTGTCTCCAATGGTGATCTAGAAATTTTCAATTGTTACACATTATCAATTAGAGGCAACATAGCACCAAGGGGAAATAACTAAAAAAATCTTAATTAGGTTTTAACAGAGAATTAAAGGAAATCATTTGAATTCGTGATATCAGACAACTGGAAAAAGCAAAAACCATTTTAAGCAACAGATTTTAGTGCAACTTTTAGAAGATTTTCTTCTTCAGACAAAAATTTTCCAAAGTGTATTTCTTAATCACCAACGCACAGCATTCTTTAAAATAAGAGGTTCCTTGTCCAAAACACTTAGAAAACACTGCTCCCCAGCACCCATTTGCTCTTTTGCAAGCTTAGCACAAGGTCATTCTGGAATCCATTCTTTGTGATATTAGCATAGTAAAGGCTCTGAGATGTCCCACAATTAAAACTGCTTAACTGGGAATCCCCTAGCAGTCCAGTGGTTAGAACTCCGCACTTCATCTGCTGAGGGCCTACGTTTCATTGCTAGTTGGGGAACTAAGATTCCACAAGCCCTGAAGTGTGGCATGTACACATGCATAAATAAATCAATCTACTTCACTTTAAACCTAGTATGACTAACTTTCTATAAACATGTTAACACAAAAGATGATATTTTGAGAAGCAGTCATTCTAGTCTAGTTCAAAAAAAAGAAAAATGAATGAGCTATCTATTTCAATTTTCTTAACTTTTCTCTATGAAAAGTCATAACCTGTGACAGTTAAGTTTTTTAACTGTTTAGTTTATTGTGACTATCATGAACACTGTAAGAAAAATATGAGCAGTGCAAATTTTTGAGTTAAATATAAGGAAATCTTTTAGGTGATGAGTATGAATTGTGATTTTTTAAACAGGTTCCTCAAATATTCAAGAACAAGCCTTGAACTCATGATCTGCTTCCCAATCACTTTAAATTGAGATGACCATATCAATTTCCTAAAGATACAGAAGTAAAACAAAACAAAACCCTAGGCTCTTACTTAGAAAACAACAAAAACTCAAAAGCACCTACACTGCAGTTTCTGAAAAGAGAAACCAAATGTATGTTAGTTTCAAGGACTACCAGTTTCAAGGTACATACCAGAAAAAGTGCTTGTGGTAGAAATAGTTGAATATAATCTAAATGAAATTCACTCTATACAAAATAAAAAATTCTGGAAGACACACCAAGTGATTCATAGGAAATGTACACAACAAAAACTAATCTTAGGAAAATATCTAAGCAAATATTAAATAACAAAAATAGTAAGTAAACTCAAGTTTAACTTCTAAAGTCATAAAGATGGGGGGACACAGTATATTATACAATGAAATTCTCAGTATCCAGTTCCTTGGAGACAACCTTTCCTTTTTTTTTTTTTTAATGAGATAATCTTATTTCTAACACTAAGCTTTAAAAGAAAATTCTTATATACAGTATTATAGAGAACTCAAGAGCTGTAACACAAAATATACTCTACAACTTGCTTAGCAGATGCAAGGTTTCATCATCTCATTTTTTAGCCAATCCTTCAGGGAAAGTCATGTGTCTAACTCCTCTAACATAATCCAGGGAAAGCGACTCACAGTAATTATGTTATGGGTTCCTGGACAATAATGGTCTAAATCTTTCCAAGATATTATCTCCAAAGTCTTCACAGAATTGTTCAAATTTAAAATGGCCCTTAAATCCAGTGGGTCTCTACCTATATCTGCAGTCAAATCTTTTCCCTACCTCCCCTTCTGGCTCTGCCATTCTCCCTATCTGGGTCACTACACACACTAATCCCTCTGGCTAAATGCCATTTCACCCATCTCTTGACTAAATTAACATTTCTAAGTCTTCTTACAGTCCACTTGACCTCTCCTGGAAAGCTTCTCCTGAACCCCCCCAGTGTCTACCTACCTGAGTCCACAGCACTTCTGCAACACCACCTAGGGTGGCACTTAGTGTCCTGCACTGTGTAAACATGAGTTTTATCAACTTCCCCTCCACTGTAAACATAACCTTATAGTTGCAGTAAAACAGTAAGACCAGAGACCACTGCCCCACCAACATCTAAACACTAGCACATGACTGGCCTGCCTGCAAACCTCAAAAAATGAATGCAAGTTTCTGATACTCTAGCTTGATGAAATGATACAACTTAGATACAATCCAGAGTAACAAATGGACTGAATGGGAACTAATACTCCATGAGTACCTTCTTAACCAGACTTAGGATAAAAATTAGCAAACGATTTATCTTTGAGTACTCCTATTTTTGCTTGTATAGGTGCCACATAATTTAGAGTTTAAATGAAGACTGAGGATGCACAAACACAAACTGGATGAAAAGCAATCAATTATATTCCTACTGCAAGGTGGTCCAAGAAAACATCATAGGAAACCCTGAATTTCTAAATTCTCTACATTTCAAATCTTAATTCTGGTTATGTTGAATCAGTTTTAAATGACTCAGGTTTTGCCATGGAAAGTGTAATGTTTTTGCCTTTAATCACGCTAAAAGTGCTAATAAAATACTATGTGTGTGTGTCTTACTCAGTCATGTCCAACTCTTTGCAACCTCATGGACAGTAGCCCACCAGGCTCGTCTCTGTCCCTGCAATTCTCTAGGCAAGAATACTGGAGTGGGTTGCCATTTCCTTCTCCAAGGGATCTTCCCCACTCAGGGATCGAACCCATGTCTTCTGCATTGGCAGGCAGATTTTTTTTTTTTTAAACCACTGAGCCACCCGGGAATCTATTTTATACAGTTAAAGACTATCTCCCACTGATTCCCTAGTAAGTCTTTCAGAAAGTGTCTAAAATCAGAGATCACCACTTAAGAGATCTAGAACTTGCTACTCTTGACATAAAATGTTCCACAAACAGAAACCACAAAGACATCTCTAAAATTAAGTCTCACATACTTTTTTGGGGGGACTTAAAAAAACCAACCCCTTCTCACACTATTTTTTACGTACTCTGGAAGTCAGCTACAGATTTTATTCTCCTAGGCAGGCACTGAGTAGATGGTTTTGTACTGTCACTTTATAGTCAATTTCACCAGAACTCTTCCAGGAAGCAGAATTTTGCGATCCAAATACACATATCATCCTAGGAAGGTGAAAATGACTGCCTTTTCTGTCCCACTTCCAGTTAAAGTGTTCTGACACCCTAACTATCCCTTTTCCCTTCACACTTCTTAGGCGCTTTTGTATCTGACAGGTACGGTAAAATTCTGGAATATGTATGTAAGGTGGACACAATCTGGATGTTTTCCAGTACTGTAAAATGTTTTATCTCTTCACAAGATAATGGTAAGAGAATAAGAAGTGAAAATCTGTGATATGTCTCTAAGCACACTGCTATGTGAAAATCTGAGAAGCAGCAGCATGTATCATGCACCTACCTATGTATTAATTCCATACAGCATTTCACTGGAAAAGTGTGAGAATATTATTTCTCTGTAAATTCACTTTTTCTACTACAAAAGCAACAACTAAATAAAAATGTCTTCTATCTATATTGCTAAATATAAAAATCACTATTTAAGTATTAGTTTCTAAATAATAGGGTTTGAAGAAACCTTTTTCCCACCACATCATAGGGTTTGAAGAAACCTTTTTCCTGCCACATCAGAATTCAGGAGTGAGAGACATAGGAGTTAAGACTGATGGCAATCCAAATAGCTCCTTATTTCTGAAAAGCAAAATCTAAACCTAGACAAAGACAGCATCTCAACAACCACACTTCATAATTATCCTAATCCACTCACAGGTAGCACTGGACAACCACAGTCCTCCTCCAGAAAGGGACAGAGTCTATCACTGGTGACCTCAGGAAGAAGCAGAGTGCTTTCTGCAAGGGGGCAGGCTCCCAAAGAGTAAGGGGAAAGGGGCTGAGCCATATACTTGATCAGTTCCTTCTTATAAACTCATCAAAAGGAAAAGTGAGAAGGTGGGACAATAGGAGCAAGTCAGACTATTTTTATGCTTTCTAAAAAACAGCAAAAAATCTAGTATGTAACAAGTCAATTTACAATGTTACAGGTACAATTATTATCTTAATCATACCTGTCAGTAAAATGGCCTCAAACTGTGAATGCAAGCTGAACAAAGCCATTCAGATATTTCAAGTAGGTATCCACAAGTTATAAAAACATGAAAAAATACAGAGTGTTTTCCTGTCTTAGAAACCCAACAAATTCAAAGGTCGCTGAATTAGGGAAGTACAAAGATACAAAGTACAAAGAACTTGAGTCTAGGAGACAGAATCAACCTCCACTTAAAAGTATGAAGATCCTATCAGTATCAATAAAAAGGAGGCAGTCTGGTCACAGAGAAGATTGGCTTTGGATTGTCACACCTGGCCTTAATCTCCGAAAGTCATGACTTCTGTTAACTTGGTTAGTACCTACACAGGAAGTAAACTACATAGGAAGATAAATTATCTTTCAACACAGGAAAGATTTATAAACAAGTATGGAAGGTTTAAGAGAAACAAAATCCTAATATTAGTATCTGTGTTAAGACTGCTTATTTGGCTTATTACATACTTGTAATGCCTAAAAAAACTGACCTATTAAAGTGACAACCTTGTATGACCAATTTAAATGTGGCAGTATTTAGGCTCTAAAAAGCTGAAATTTTATTAATATCAAACATCTAGGAGAACTTTAGACTCAAAATAAGAAAATTATGTTTTAAAATTAAAGTTTAAATTGTCTGAAGATATTTGTTAATTGTAAATGTAACCTGAAGAGTTATTGTGCAAATAAGAAAAATGAACTTTAAAAGTGAAGAACCAGGATTCTGAAATATAACTTTAATTTTTTTTTTTTTAACATGGCTTATCTCATACAAAACCCGCCCTCCGGAACATCAAAAGACAATTCTAAACAACTCAATGTCACCAGAAATTGGGCTTTTTAAAAGACATGCTTGAAATAAAGGAAACGCCAGCAACTATTTAGGACGACTGTACAGATAAAGCAAATCATTTTTTTTTAAAGCAGGGTATTAAAAAACTAAGAACAGAAACTTAGCCAATTAAAACTCTTTTATGTTTGTGTTTTTAACCGGATTCCTAGCCAGAAATCCTTAAATCATCCTCCAGTGCTCCAGGTCACATGGTGAAGAGTCACCTATCAAACACGAATCTAAGCAGTAAACAAGTCTACTGAAATTCTTAGGTAACACCCTTTATTAAAATGTTCTTGATATACCTTTCCAAGTACTACATTTCTCTGAAACATTTAAAAGCTTTTTTCCAGTACAGCTTCCCCCCCCCCAAAAAAAACCCTTTGCCCCTATGTCTGTCACCAATTTTTAAGCTAAAATCTTACAAAGTACTAAGTCCAGATTTTAACACGGTTCTCTTAGTAACATGATTAACCCCTCAATTCCCATCCTATTCAAACGTTTAAATGTGTCAGAATGAAAAGCTAAGAAAAGTTGGTTTTCCCTACCTGTGGTCTCGGAAGTTAACACTAACTTTAACACGTGTGTTTGGGCAAAAAAATTTTAACATGTTCCCCAAACTTGGCCCAGTTCAGATACAAAGCAATGGCTAAAATGAGTGAAGTTTTAATCTCTTCTTTGGTTTTAATTTTTACACATTTCCCTGAGTCTCGATATCGGTTCCAGTTAACAAAAACACAACATTCCTCACCAATGGCACCTAACAAAACGAACCCATAAGCCCTACAACGTCTCTTTCGTCCCTACACCTGTCTGCCGGAAGCTATTCCTGGACACGCTCGGGACCTCAAGCATTCATCCCCACACTTGTTTTCATAAACCCGCTCCTTCCTCTTCACCCACTTCCAACTCGCATGCTTCTCGGATCCACCCGGCCGCTCTCCCCCCGCACGTTCCGAGCCTTTAAGGGCTGGGCAGGCGGACAGCTCGATCTCTAACCCTGGGACCAAGAAAGGGACCTAGAAAGAGCCGGGAGGGCCCCCCCCCCCAAACTCCGCGAGGCTCAGACGCGGGGAGGAAAGGAAGCGGGAAAGGCGTGAGCACTCCCCCCCCAACACACACACTCACGCTGAGCGCACACCCCCTTCCGGCACCCCCCTCCCCCTGCATTGTGCGAGCGGGCCCCAGGCCGCGGCCGTCCTGAGTTGCCTACGGGGCCCGTCCGCCCTCCCGCCGGCGGGTTGCCCCCAGCCGAGACCGCCACACAAAGCCCGGGGAGCCGCCCCGCGGCGCCAGAACACGGGGAGAGGGGTGCAAGCGCGACTGACTTACGGGGCTGCTGCGGCCGCGCTGCCTCAGCCGGGGACACCGACCGTTGGGCACACGGCGGCGTCGCTCTTGGCCGTCCTCCCCCTCCTCCGCCTTCGGTGGCGGCAAGATCTTCTTTCTCCACCTACCTCCCTCCCCCCCACCCCACCTCCTCCTTCTCCTCCCCCTCCTCCTCCTCCGAACCACCGAAGTACCGAGGGTGAGACACAGAGACTCACAACAACATGGCTGCCACCGCCGCCTCCCCTCCCCTCCCCTCCCCCCGGCCCACCGGGCGCGCGCAAAGCACTCCGGGAGAAAAGGGAAGGGAGGGAGGCAGTGGCGGGGCGAGGCGGGGGGCGGGAGTGCTCACCAAGGTGCCGCTCCTCTCAGTGGCTTCCGACGCTTCTCCCGCGCTCCAGGCGCCCGCCGGCGGCAGCTCTGCGCGTGCGCACGTTCTCCGCGCTCGCGCGTTTCGGCCGTCCCTCCGGCGTCTGCGTCCCCGCCCTCACCTTTCGAGCTCGCGGCTGGACCTGAGCTCGGCTGAGGCGGCGGGCGGGAGCGCGCGCCGGGCTCGGGCAGCGCAGGCGTGGTGTTTTCGAACGCTGCTGTCGTGTCCGTCTTCTCGCGTGGGGCCTAGTCTTCCGAACTCGCTGGCCTTGCGCTTCCTGTCCAGTAGTTCATTGTTCTTCCCCGCACACCCCGACTGCCTTGTGAGGGTGTCAGCGCCCTTCCCATCGCGGTGCAGTCCTCTCACTTTCGAAGTGCCGGCGCCCACAAGACCCGGACCAGTAATCCAGGCCCTTAGGTTTCACCCTTATCCTCACCCCGAAGGAAGACGGTGGGACGGACGGGCGGGCGGAGACACGAGTGTGGAGAAGTGGACTTATGCGGGGGGCTGCCCCCCCCCCCCAACCTCTGTGCTTGGCCCGGTAAACAAAGGAAACTCGGGTGTTCTGCTAGGCCAGGGATTCTCTCTCGCGGCTGCTTCCCACGTCTGGATTTCTGTAGCAGGCCTTTTATTAGCCTTCCTGTGTTCAGCCTCAGCTGCTGTAAATATCAGGTGTGGTGTGCTTGATATTTAAGGTGGTCATTGAACGTGTCGCTGACAGTGATGCCTGACAGACATTTTAATCATCTGGAAGCTCATTAGAAATGCAGAATCTTGGCCCCACTCCAGAACTTGGTGAATCAAAATCTTCATTTTAACAAGATTCCCAGGCAATTGCTCTACACAATGAATTTGAAGAAGCATTGGTGATCCAATCATAATAATTCCATCTCAATAGGAACTATTTCTGCAATGAGTGTGTCATCCATTTAAAGCCAATGAGACACAAAGGTGCCAACTCAGAG